ATATATATATATATATATATAAATAAGTAGTTTTCTTTAAAGAAACAATCCTTATCTATTTCATAAAAAAAAAACTTTTAAAAAATAAATGCTTAGAAATAAACATATATACAAACTCGATCTAATAATTTCTCTATTTTAAAAAGGTGTATGGTACATAACATGTTTTTATTTTTCTATAAATCTTAAATCAACAATCTTGATTTTTCATGTTTAGTAATTATTTTTAAAATATTCTCAAGAATATAATTTTGTTGAAAATCATTTTTATCCCAATTTTTCATAAAAAAAACTCTTATGAGAGGTAGAAATCTAATTTTTCTGAGTTAGGAAAAAAAATATGCATATAAAAAAATCATTATATCTTTTTAAAACAAAAAAAAGTTAATTTCTCTTTTTCATCCCCTCTTAGAGATTACACCCATTAGGAATTGAATAGTCGACCTTGACTCTGGTATTAATTGTTGAATTGAATGTTTATCATTAAGGCAAAAGTTATAACCAATAATCAAGATATAACTGTTTCTATTTAATCATAGTAACCAAAGTGTCATATGTCTCAAATATGACTTGACCACTCAGTCCTTTATAACGAGACAATTGATGGACCTCAAAAAATAATAATTAAATAATTTTAATAATTTTTTAAAATTTAAAAATAGTTTAATGTCATGTTTATAATAAGATTTGAATAAATAAATATATCTAATAAATTTATTTTAATAAAAAATATTTTTACAAAAAATATTTATATATTTAAGAATATACTATTGTAACTAAACATGAAAATCTTTAATTCTTAGAAATCTTATATAAATATTCTCATGAATTTTTATGAGTAACCAAATATATTTTAGTTATTTTTAAGAATTGCAATTTTCAAGATTTGTAATTCTTAAAAATTATATTATTGCATATAAAAAAAAATTTCTCCTCTATCAAACGTTTCATAAATATTTGAAAAAATGATTTTAACACTACATGATACAAATTCGCAATAATTGAGAGTAGTCAATTAACCCACAAGTACCAACCCTCTTGGAACTTATAACCCAAATAGAACACTTACAACAAGAAAATCAACACATTCGAGAAGAGAATGACAAGATACAAACCGACCCAAATCAAATAATCTAAGGGGTAAAAGGAAACATAAAGAAAATATCTCCCAATATATCCCTTAGGGAGAAGGGGATCCGAGTTGAAAATAGAATAATATATTACAAACCACTTATATATTAGAATTAGTAATGTTTTCCTCCCCATTCTCATTGATTAATGACCACTAAAAATGTATTTATATTACACTGAAATTTATTATTAGCAATAATTATTTATTAGAAAAAACTTAAGTCTCACATTGATTAGAAATAAGATAATTATAGTATATAAGTGAGTAATAACTATCACCTTACAAGTTCATTCTATAGGGTTGACTCCTAATTTACTATTCTAAATTAGTATCAAATCACCCATTATTAGATAAAAAAAAGTATATAAGTTATGAATTTAGAAAAGAAAATTATAGGAATAAATTATTTAAAATAAAGTAGACAATTGAAAAAAATAAATTTTAATAGCCTTTTAAAATGACTACTAGAATTGCGACTAAAAAAATAAATTTTTTCGACAATTTAGTAGATCTTTACCAGCATTTTATATAAATGTCGGTAATAGTATTAGCAACACTGGATACACCAACTTTTATTTAAATACTGGTAAAAAAATAATAGTCATTTATATGACCGCTAAATAATAAATTAATTGTCACAAAAAATTAATTTTGGTGTAGTGATATTACTATTAAAAATACAAATGGTTATAAGGCGAAATTTACTTTAAAAAAAATAAAAACTTATAATTTATAAAATGATAATTATAAGAATAAAATTATCTAAAAATGTAGGATATCAAATGAATAAATCTCCTTTTATTAATAGCATAAATATATATGCATAATTTGCTATTTTTAAATTTTGTATGTGAGTTTTCTGTTTCACTGGAAAGTTGACAAAAACTGGTTGAAAAGTTTAGCGTAAAAGTCTTGTCTGTTATTTTATTTGAATCATAGCCTCTCTGGTTATGGTTACATATGGTCTCAAATACATACAGTAACAACTAACAAGCCACATCGTTTTTGAGGCCATGGATGAACAATATCCTGCAATACTTTACAAGCACGACTGCACGAGCACGACCACTATTAAAAATATGCTAATAATTATAGGTAGCTCCATTGATATATAATATAGATTTTATCTAACAAAAATTTAATTGTTAGAAAAATATATATTGTATTTCTAGTTAATCATGTGATGAAATCATATTAATAAATAATTTCATTGTATAAGAAAATGATATATACTCTGCATTACAGTTTTAGTAGGATGCCTACATTACAGTATTATATAAGATTAATATTATATCGATTCTAATGGATTTCCTACCTGTCTCAAAGCTGTCATTTAATTAACCTCAAGAGGTAGTTGTAGAGAAGTGATCTTCTCCTTCTGTAAGTGGTGTGCCAAATAGGGAGAGAATTATTCTTTTATTTTCAGTAGAAATCACGTGTACGTACGAGGCAATCCTACTCAAGGTAAATACAAACATTATAAATGACAAAAAGATTTTGTCTAAATATATTTAATGTAGTTATATATTTAAAACTCAACCTTAATACCACCGATTAAACTAAAACAATCTTATACTAATTGATATATGTAATATGGAGGGAATAGCCGTCAACAAAGTTAAGTACCTTTGAATATTGATAATAAAGACAAGTTTCCAGCACAAAGCTTCCCACATGCACAGCCAAGTCTCGAGGAATTAATGAATCTAATCGTCATCCACTTTCAGTCCATTAGGAAGAACTTTTATTGGGCTTTGATATAAAGTTAGTGAATGGAAGAAACATGGGTGCATGTACAACTGCATATATTAAACAAATATGGATTATTAAAATACAGTATGTGTGGGCAACTGAAAACCTGACGATATGGAGGTTTATATTATATATTTTGGTGCGCCTTAATTCATGAATTCCAAGAGAGAAAATTAACTTATCGTCCATTACATAGAATGTGATAACTATTACATCATGCATGCATGCCAGCGTAATATCACACTAACACTTGCATGATATGAGATTGATAATATACTATTTGAAGCTTTGTTGTTGGATCACTTTTACTACAAAATTCTAACTAGAATAAGAATTTAAATGTGCAAAATTGATTTAATTATGTATGCAAAGTTAAAAAGTTAAACAGCCTTAGGGATATACGCACACAAGTGTTGAATTTAGTCAAACACGAGGGCACTGTTAGCAAATTAAGTCAAGTGGTGATTTTATGTGAATATATAAATGTGACATCTCTTGTATCATTGTCTATAAATTAAGCACATATGTTTCCACATTCATCATATCGTGGCCTGGCCTCTTGCATAATTTGCATCCTTTCTTTGGTCTTACAGTTATTACTTAGACCTTGCAAACTGCAATTAACTATTAACAATGAAGGGGTCATGTAGTTCGAGCGGTTATTACTTTTGTCTGATCAATATGTTCTTGTTGCTTTTGGCAGTAAGTTCTCAACTGACAACAGACTTCTACAAGTCATCATGTCCTAACGTTTCCAAAATAGTAAGGAGAGAAGTTCAAAAAGCTCTAATGAATGAGATGCGAATGGGTGCTTCCTTGCTTCGCCTTCACTTTCATGACTGCTTTGTTAATGTAAGTTTAATTAAGTTATCTATCTATCTATATATATATATATATATGTTTTAATTATATGCACGCTTAAATTAGTCAAATTGTTAGGGATACATTACCTCAAAACTCCCTAATAAAATAGTTTTATATGCATGCTAACTTTATTTTCTTGAACATGATCAGGGTTGTGATGGATCAATACTACTAGATGGTGGTGATGATGGAGAGAAGTCTGCTATTCCTAATCTGAACTCTGCTAGAGGATATGATGTTGTAGATACAATCAAAAGTTCAGTGGAGAGTGAATGTCAAGGGGTTGTCTCATGTGCTGATATATTAGCCATCGCTGCCAGAGATTCAGTTTTCCTAGTAATTTTATTCAAATCCCACTACTCTCTATATATTATTTTTGCTTAAATTCCTTTACAACTCCGCTAACATGCACGGGAATTTCATAAGAGTTACTCAAATAAGTTGGTATTTAGCATTTTACATACATTACTCATTAAGTCTCGTAATGTTTGGTAGAGTGGTGGTCCTTCTTGGAAGGTTCTGCTAGGACGAAGAGATGGAACAGTCTCAAACGGAACACTAGCAAATCAGCTTCCTTCGCCGTTGGATTCATTGGATACCATCATTTCAAAATTTAGTAATTTAGGCCTTAATCTCACAGACGTTGTTTCTTTATCAGGTAATAATAACATATCACGTTAATAATCAATTTGTTAATAAGTTATTAACTAACGATACTAGACAATTAACTTAAATATGATAAAATATATAAAATTTTGAAAACTGAATGATAAAATTGATGATATCCGGAAACATGGATTGCAATTATGCCTAATAAATTCGATACATGTTAACTAATTTATGTATTAATTATTTGTGAAGGTGCTCATACTTTCGGGCGATCAAGGTGTACACAATTTAGCAATAGATTGTACAACTTCTCAGGAACAGGTGCACCAGACAGTACACTAGACACTGACATGCTCTCTGACTTGCAAAGTTTGTGTCCTAAAAGTGGAGATGGAAACGTAACTACAGTCCTTGATCGAAACTCTTCGGACCTATTTGACAACCACTACTTCAAGAACTTGCTCGTTTCAAGGGGCCTTCTGGGTTCTGACCAGATTCTGTTTTCTAGTGACGAGGCTAACTCAACCACTAAACCTTTGGTCCAAAGCTACAGCAACGATAGTGGACTCTTCTTTGTGGACTTTGCCAATTCTATGATCAGGATGGGGAACATAAACCCAAAGACTGGGTCTGATGGAGAGATTAGGAAGAACTGCAGAGTGATCAATTCTTAGTACATGAATGAGGCTTTCCAAGATGTGAAATAATAAGCACAAGATCGGGTGTGTCTTCTAGTTACAATAGCGTAGTTTAGGTTGGTGTTGTTATGTTATTAACCGGAATGGAAATGTGCTTTCATGTGCCACATGGTGGATATGAAAACCTAACCAAGGTTACAAGGCAAAAGACAAACTACAAATATTAAATAAGATACTTGAATCATTTCCTTTCATCTTTTAAGGGATTTAACTTATTATATTCTTCAGTTTAATTTACAACACTTACTAAATAGAGAAAATAGATAATATCAGTAAGCAAAGTTAAATGTTTTCACATTAAATATTACCATTATATTTTTTAACTTATTAAAAATTATAACATTTGATAAATTTTATTTCTTATTTAATGCTTTTTTTTAATATTAATTTAATTTATTAATTTTGTCAATTTTATTTGGTTTTTATTTTCAAAATAAAATTATTTTTCATATTATGTAATATTCATTAATTATTTATTTTTTCTATCTTATATATAAGTAAAAAAATTGATTCATGCTTAAAATAATAATTTTATATTTTAGAAGATGAAAATAAAATAAATATTTTATAAAAGTAAAAATTTGCTCAATTTATAAGATCAAAAATAACATTTTAAATTTTATAAGAACTAAAAATAAAATTTTCTTATAGAGATTATAATTAAATTTTCCCACCCAGTATAGCATCACAAGTATATGATATAAATGAATGAGAAGCACCAGAATCAAAAAGGATCATCACATCCTTACCACCAGCTCTACCATTCCCCTTCACAAGATCTGAGGAAGTAGAAGCTTCAAGAACCCTAATCTCTAGTCGATGTGGGACTTGGGTTTTTCCCAATACACCCCCTCACGTCCAGCACTATTGGGCTTGGTACGTGGATAAATGGTGGGTGGCCCTTTTTAATGATCTAGGATTGGCGGGACTTGAGTTTTTCCCAATACACCCCCTCATGCCTATGAGGCATGCATCAATGGTGGGTGGCCCATTTTTAAAGTGGATCTAAATGGCTTTGATACCATGTTAGAATTAGTAATGTTTTCCTCCCCATTCTCATTGATTTGGTCAGAATATATACAATGTAAATGCCTTCACGTTAGGCTACAATCTAGGAAACAATATACTAAATATATGCTATAACGGAAGGCTATGAAATAGGAAACTATTTATCTTGTTTCAGTAATATATTTACAATATATTTAACATTATACAAGATTACAAAACCTTGTTCAAATGGACAAACTAACAAACGAAGCCAACTTTGTTGTCTATATTAAGTCTGCTTCTCTCAAATGAATCATAAATTAAACTTATATACACAAGCCTACTTGGTTAGTCACAACAAACCTCTAAATAAAACCTCGAATACCTAACTTGAAAGTATTCACAAATGTACATTCTCACCAAAAACATGAGTCAAACAAAATAAACACAAACAAATTGAAAGATGGATAGACGACAAAGTCAACAACAAATACTAATGTCTCATATTAAATTGACTACATTCGTCTCATCCTACAAAAATTAGGGTTGACTAATCATATAAATATATCTTTACATTTTAAGATTACAATACCATTAAGAAGCACCGGTATTAGGATGCTCCATGCACTTTTACCTTCCCTTTATTCACTAACTTTATTGGTATTAAAAATACTCTTGTATACGAGACTACTTAACTAATTAAATTATACATAAGTTATTAATTTGAGTAGAATTAGACCTAATTTCTTTAAGTAAAATTCAAATTCATGTCTTATAAATGAAAAATATAGTTGACAGATTATACTCTACTATAAAGACAATTATCAATTAGTTTTCTTTTTGACAAAAATTAGTTATTACATTAGAAAAAAATATTACATACAGTGATATAAAAAAGTATCAATATAATACAATATATGTAAGTATATATCTATTTGACATATCACATACAATTTTAATGTTAATTTTAAATTAAATTTAATAATATATTTTATGTGTTACTATAGTCTATATCCATATTTTTTAACAATATACTAACATATACTTTATATATTATATGGATAAAAGTAATTTTTAGTAATAAGTATTATATTACTATAAAAAATGTATTACTATATCACAATTTTCTTATAATGTTAACAATGTTTATAGATATTTTACACTAATATAACATAACTAAGAAAAATTAATTAAGTGTAAAGCTTATCGATCTCACCAACTTTAGTAATTGGAAAAGTAAAATACAGAAGAACGTAGAATTTAATTATTGTGTTGTGCATACCTTAAAAATATTAAACTTAATAAAATAAAAAGGTAAGAAAATAATTTAAAAGATTCTTGCAAATTAAATATTTGTTTAGGTTTTAAATGAAACCTTGGGAAATTTTATTAATATATTTTAAAGTGGCTTAATCTTTTTTTCTTTCTTCAAGAGTGAGAACTTTAAATCTTATATTATAATATTTTAAACTAGATACGCATTTGTTTATAAAAAAATAAATTTTAATAGCCTTTTAAAATGACTACTAGAATTGCGACTAAAAAAATAAATTTTTTCGACAATTTAGTAGATCTTTACCAGCATTTTATATAAATGTCGGTAATAGTATTAGCAACACTGGATACACCAACTTTTATTTAAATACTGGTAAAAAAATAATAGTCATTTATATGACCGCTAAATAATAAATTAATTGTCACAAAAAATTAATTTTGGTGTAGTGATATTACTATTAAAAATACAAATGGTTATAAGGCGAAATTTACTTTAAAAAAAATAAAAACTTATAATTTATAAAATGATAATTATAAGAATAAAATTATCTAAAAATGTAGGATATCAAATGAATAAATCTCCTTTTATTAATAGCATAAATATATATGCATAATTTGCTATTTTTAAATTTTGTATGTGAGTTTTCTGTTTCACTGGAAAGTTGACAAAAACTGGTTGAAAAGTTTAGCGTAAAAGTCTTGTCTGTTATTTTATTTGAATCATAGCCTCTCTGGTTATGGTTACATATGGTCTCAAATACATACAGTAACAACTAACAAGCCACATCGTTTTTGAGGCCATGGATGAACAATATCCTGCAATACTTTACAAGCACGACTGCACGAGCACGACCACTATTAAAAATATGCTAATAATTATAGGTAGCTCCATTGATATATAATATAGATTTTATCTAACAAAAATTTAATTGTTAGAAAAATATATATTGTATTTCTAGTTAATCATGTGATGAAATCATATTAATAAATAATTTCATTGTATAAGAAAATGATATATACTCTGCATTACAGTTTTAGTAGGATGCCTACATTACAGTATTATATAAGATTAATATTATATCGATTCTAATGGATTTCCTACCTGTCTCAAAGCTGTCATTTAATTAACCTCAAGAGGTAGTTGTAGAGAAGTGATCTTCTCCTTCTGTAAGTGGTGTGCCAAATAGGGAGAGAATTATTCTTTTATTTTCAGTAGAAATCACGTGTACGTACGAGGCAATCCTACTCAAGGTAAATACAAACATTATAAATGACAAAAAGATTTTGTCTAAATAGTCACATAAATGCATATAATGCATGTCACACATTCACAAACTCATGGACTCATCACTTTACTTGTCATGGAATTTCATGTCTTATCTCATTTCATCACGTTTCACATTCTCATAGTCATAGTGCTCACAATAGCATGTCATTCACATCATGTCTCATGTCATTTTATCTCATAATATCATATCACAGATCATATGTTCACTTTTCACATTTTCTCTTCATATTCACATAGTCTCATACAAGGAACTTCTCATAGTCATATATAAAATAACACATAACCATACCTAGAAATTATCCAAAACATGAATCCATCATCAATTTTACATATAATGCCTCAAAATTTATCCAAAGATCATATCCCTAATTTTACTTCATAGGGTTTCCCACACGAACCCACAGAGCACTTTAATTCATATCATAACTTGTCTATTTTCAAAATTAATCACATATTCATACATCACATCCAACAAGGAACACAACAGAACAATCAGAAAGAAAAATAAAAAACTTTCATAAAGTGCTTGCTCCTATAGGCATACATTAGGCAAGGGATTGAGGGTTATTCCTACTATCCAACAATTATTCCCACACCCCCAAGCGAGGTTTCTCACTCCTCCCTTACCTGGATAAGAAAAAGATGAGGCTAAAGCAGAATATGGTTGATCTCCTTCTCTTGGTTCTCCTTGGTCTTCAAAGAGTGTGTCTAGGAGCAGTGCTAGAGTTTGCTATTTATAGATGTTAAAAGTGGCTAGAACAGCTCGTTTTGGATCCGGAATGGCCCGTTCTAGATCCTTTCATCATGGGTTAAATTCGCATATAGAATGGCCCGTTCTTAAACCAGAACGGCTCATTTTGGAGTTGAGTTTAACTCATAACAGCCATGTTTGGAACAACCCATTCTTAAACCAAAATGACTCGTTCCCAACTAGGGTTATATGCCTTTTTGGTGGTTTGGAATGCCCTGTTCCAATTTGGGAATGGTCCGTTCCCAACTAGGGTTTATAGGCCTTTTTAGTAGTTTAGAACGGCTCGTTTTGAGCTACTAAATCACCCTTATTGGGCTTTGGGCCTTCATATAATTTGTGAAAATTGGGGTGTTACAACATCCTCAAGGAATCTCGCATTCCCCGTCTCAAAGAATGATCTAGTAGTGGGATTGTAAAATTTATAACCCTGAAAGCGCTCAGGATAACCAACAAAATAACAACTAACAGTCCTTGATTCCAGCTTGCTTTCATGCGGCCTATAAGGACGTGCTTCAGCTGGACAACCCCAAATGTGTAAATGCTTTAGACTTGGCCTTTTACCAATCCATAACTCATAAGGAGTTTTGTTAACTGCTTTACTTGGTACCCTATTTAGGATGTAAACTGCAATCTTAAGCGTTTCTCCCCACAATGATTCTAGTAAGGAAGAATGACTTAGGTACTAAAATTAATTTTTTAAAACTTTTTATGAAGATTTCAAATACTTTTAATACATTTTTTTTACTTTAAAATTATTCATATAATGCATAAAATATGTATTAGATTAAGTATAAAATAAAATATTATTTCTTTTACCGGAATATACGTTAATTAGAGGTATCAAATGGATAAATTGAATATAAATTGACTTCAATTATAATGGATTTGTTAAAAACTGGTATTTTAACTTGTAGAACCTATAGGATAATTTTTATTTTATATATAGTTATAATTTATAATAAATATTTGATATCTTAGAAATAAAAATATCTGAATACTTTTTCTTTAAATAGTTAATAAAAAATGGTATATATATATTTTTTTTAACTTGTGCTTTAAGAATGTACATCAATAAATACAGGTTAGGGTTAGTTAAATTTTCTAAAACAATAGAGGGCAGATAAAGCATAAGTTGTTTTTTTTTACAATCTACATAATTGGTTTTTAGATTAATAAAAAATAATTTGTTATCATGTCATCTATTTTACTATTCAGTAAAGAATTGTTATTGATTTTAATTTAGTCCTTAACTAAGTAATTTTTTAATTTAAAATTATAACTATTTCAATTTCTTCCTTTTGAAGTCTAATTTCCTTTTTCTTTCTCTACCGTGCAAACACTGATGTTTTTTCATGCTTAGATTTTCCTTTAAAAAAACAGTAATATATTTTGTGGAGTAAAAAATGTTTGATTGCATATATTGTATCTTCACTATTATAATTTTTCTAATTATATACGATTTTTCATGTGAATTTTATATAAAAATTTGAAGGAAATATGATTCTTACAAATTTTTTTGCAAAATTTTATCTTCATGTAATATCTTCATAAATAATATTTTTTTTTGAATTTTAAAATTCACAAAAATTTTTTTGCAGAATTTCTTGTAAAAAATTTCTCAGAAAAGTTTCATGTGAATTTTAGGATTTAGGATTTTGCGGAATTTTGTAGAAAACTCTTCTGTGAAAAAAAATTAAAGAAATTGTTGCAGAACGTTTCTTGCAAATTTATAATGAAAAATTAATTTTTGTGTAAATTTTTTTTGTTAAATTTCTTACAAATTTTAAATTTACAAGAAATTCTATCATGATTGTAAGTATCAAATCACCATTTAATTGTGAATATCAAATCATCAATAATTCTTCAATTATTATATTTCAAACACTCACAACAAATTCATAATATGTTTTTCATACTTTTAACATGTAATTGATGACTTTCTAAAATTTTAGAATATAAGTCATATTAGAATGTAGGTTATAAGTCTAATATTATTCAAATTCAAATGTTTGCTTTTGATCGACCAGATATTATCATGTAAGGGTGATTTTTCTTTGATCTTAATTTTGACAACAACGTAAGTCTATAAACCAATTGTTCTCCCCAAACCCCTAAAATTTATAAGCATGTCCTAGAATTTCTCTAGAATTTTTAATCGATCAGAACTTCACAAAGAACCATCCAGTAAAACCCAAATTGGCAAATTTCAATATCCGAACAGAAATATATGGTGACATGCGTTATATTTATAGTGTCTTTATTTGGTACATGTATGAAGTTTTGAGCCAGTTAAGCCCTATACAGACATTCAAATATTCATAAAATACAAACATACTGGTAAACTACTTTTGATAACCTGTACAACAAATTAGGATAAAATATGGGAAATTGAATCATAGACTATTTTTTATTTAATTGAAAATCCCCTGTCCGGGTGACAAAATTCTGTTGGGATCAAACTGAGCTTTTCTTTGATTGAAAATTTTCCATTTCGGGCCAAAATGTTTCTCCCATTCATTGTGTGTTTTGTTCTGTGGAAGATACTGCTTTATACCAATACCAGAGTCCACACAGAACTGTAATATCTGTTGGTTTTGTGCCTGAAATTCCTCTAACTGATCAAACCCAGTTGCATGAAGAAGTGACACCACGTAGAAAACTTCTTCATCAGGTGTAACTGCTGACATCTTATCATCCCACCTGTGAATGCATTTTAATTAATTATATTAACCAAATATACTTTTTTGTCACAATTTGTAACTTTTTTTTTCTTCATATAATCATCATATTAATATGAAATATCTAATTGATGACTAATCTCTATCACAAAATAAACTATTTTAAGTAGGAGTCTTCTCCCAACTACAATTGATAGTATTATCTCTAATTAATTTCATAAAACTTACTTGGTTTGGTTCACGGGGTAGATTATGGCAAGTCCTGCTTTAATATTTTGCTTCAGAATAATGCCCTTGAACACACCTTCATCGAAATCCGAGATTCGAGATCCTGGAACAAAGAGGTTTAACCAAGGATGAGGAACCTCCCAAAGCCCTTGTGATCTTAGTATAAGCTCGTCAGAATGAACTCTGTTTAGGAACTCTTCGTACGATTCATCTTTTTCGAACATAAACGTAGGAACAAACTTCAACCCCTCGACCAAAAGTTTGACATCCTGTCCAACAAATAACAAACATAATAACTAAGTTAAGTCTTTCATAGACAAATTTATCATAAAAAAGATAATTCCTAAGAAGAGAATTATTAATTAAGTTATATATATATGAGTTTAATTAAGTTAAAGTTAAATTAGTTAACTACCTCGTCAACATGTTCTTGAGAACTATTGTCGTAATATTTGACAAGCTCTATGATGTAGATGATTCCGTATTGAGTTACAAGGGAAGTTATGCGAGGACGATCAGATTCTGGATAAAAAGAAAGCTCCAATGGTGACTGATTTAGCATAAGGAACCCTTCTATATAATCAGCTGCATTAGTCTCATTTCTTCCATTGAATGAAATCAAGTGTTCTTGGTCTCCAGAAAATGCAGAAAAGTCGTTGTAAAACAAATGGAGCCGTTTCACCTGCAAGCAATCAGATAAATGATTTTTTATTAGCTGTAATATTGAAGATCGATTATTGTAAATATTTTTCAATGTTTTTGCAAGCTTTGTGACTTACTAATTACCATATAAAGGTATGCTGGGAATTTTTTTTGTTTTACATATGATCAATTATTAATTGGTGGTTTTGAGAATACAAGAAGATCTATATATTATAAATAAATAAATAAAAGAAGATGATACATTAATACACTTACCCTGGTTGGTGCGGGGCCAAGGGCTATTCTTGCTCTCGTTATAATCCCAAATTGACCTAAACCTCCTAGAACACTGTAAAACAACTCTGAGTTGTTCTCCGCAGAACAAGTCACTAGGTCTCCTTTCCCTGTTGAATTCAACGTTAAACATATGTATATGAAGTGTATATTGCAAAAAAAAAAAGCATGAACAATTTAAAAAGAAAATCTAATTACTGATGTATAAAAACCAATCCCTTCTTTTCAATAAATTAAAAAAAAAACATTTAGATGCACTAAAGAACCACTCCATGAACTAATGCTTCTAGAATTATCATTGTTATTATTAATAAATATCATTGTAATTACAAGCACACCAGGATCAGGATAATACATCACAAAATGCGCAACAAACTGGCATAAACGCTAATTACATTCAATTAATTTTTAGACCATTATTTATGTTTACCACTTGAAAAATAATTCTCAGTTGTCCTACACAACCATTATATAATTATATATGTAATACTAAACTTAATAAATGAATATTCAGTAAACTTGCCAGACTACCAAATGGCAAAAATCGAAAATGCATGCAGGAAAAGATCTTTCCTAGTTTCCTTTGACCTATAATAGAGTTGACTTCTATATTTTATAGTGGATTTTCCCAAAAATTAGGCAGGGAATAATTAAGTTCAATTATTAATTTGAAGAGATAGTTTTCAACAAAACTGAAGATTTGTTAAGAAAGAGAAGCATGAATGAGTGCGTGCTGACAATTTGTTGGCTGACGACTTATTTAAGACCAAATTAAAGATTGGTCGACAGAAGATTATTAGCGTATACAATCCAAGCCGGTCGAATAGCATAATAAACAGTGTATAGTATTTCATGTCGCACTCTATCTTTGATTTAATCATTGATTCATATGGAATCTTGGCAAATATATGATGAAGTCACGTGACAATTACTTTCTTTTAATTTTATATTTTTCATTTCTATTTGTATATATGTTCGATTCTATTAGACTGTTAAGGAATCGACCATAAACAAAGTAGCACACGGAAAATAAATTACAATACTGGTGTAGATCGAATCAAAATCATTGGACATTAATTCTTCTGTTATTTTGGTTATAACCTAAGCCGCATGGACAAAGAGATAGGGATAAAATATACTACAGTACACGTATATTTTAATTAACATTGACGATGGACAAATTCAATTTGTAGACAAAGAGATAAGCCTCAACTAGACATCATTCGATTGGAACCTAGCAAGTTCCGAAGAACTACTAAATCTCATAGCCCTACATCAATTTCTTAATGACATGGTCCATTCATACTTCATAAAGAGACAAGTTTAAAATCTTCTGTAAAGATATGATGTGACCAATCAAGCTAGCATAATCAACTTGTTGCATTGAATTTTGAGTTGATTTAATAAAACATATTTATCCGGGCTTTGTTTTATAATAATAAACCTAAGATGTTTAAAGGGTCTTAGTCTAATGGGTGTATTTATGAAATTTTAAAAATTGGATAGTCATAGCAGAACTATTTATTACACATCATATCTGTTCCATTAATTTGTGTGGACGTACATATGAGATGCTAGTAGCTATTGTTTGATCCTTCCCCATTTTTTTTAGTTGATATATATGTACACAGAGAAAGGAGGGAGAGGATGAATATATTAATTTATACATTGGCAATAGTATTTATTTAATAATTTATATCAAATATTGTTTTCATCATTCTAACCATTAAGTTATAATTGTTTGTGTAAAATATTATATAAAAAACAAACAACAGTAACGAAATCAAATAATTATTATTTTTATATAAAAAATATATTACATTTTTAATAAATTAAATCGATGAAGTTATGAGTCTCTATATATATATATTAGGATTTATTTCATCAATGAAGTATGGATTATATTAAATCATTTTAGACTATGACAATATATTATATATATAATTTAGATTATAAAACTTTCGATTCAACCATAGAATTAAACTTGATCATGATCTTTATATACATGTGTGAGCAGGAAACAAATGCTCTCATTTTCTCCATATGTAAATATTGGTTTTCAATATTTTTATTTAAATTCTTTGTCTAGCTTAGTTCAACTATAGTGAACTTAATATAAAGCTTCATTTGGAAAAGTTAAATATATGAATATGAGATGGGGAAGAGAATATACAATCCATACCTGTAACAACATCCAACTCATGAACATTGGAAATCTGAGGACCAAACCTAAATGTTTGGCCACTTATGCCGGCATTGGAGAGAGTTCCACCAACCGATAAGAACAAGTAATCAGTCCAAGAGAGGGGTGTGAGTCCACGTTCAAGTGTTGCATGCAACACATCAATCCAAATTTGTTCACCACCCACATCAGCATATGGAGCACTTGCATCATCAGACACTACAACAATTCCAGCACCATTTCTAAACTCGTTCAACTCGGTCATGTTCATCACAACGCCATCACTTGTCATGGCTTGTCCATGAACCGAGTGTGCTTGCCCTCTAGGAGCTATGGTGAAAGGGATGGGCAGAGAATTTGAGAATTTTATCAAGTCGGATATGTCACTAATGGAGGATGGTGCGAAAATTGCAAAAGGGTTGTCATGAACTATGTGGCCATAATCTGTTGAAGCTAGTGAAAGGGTCACGGGGTCACGAATAAGCTTTAGGGTTAGCTCTTTTGGTGCTTGGAGTAATGACCATGGTTGTGATTCTGCATGTGTGACCACTATGTAGGTTAACCATAGCATAATCAAAGGTTTTGAAAGTCTAAAATAACTTGCCATTTTTTGGAGAGAAGAGAAGTTAATTATTTGGTTCGTGCTCACTATTACTTCGAATTGGCTATGAAAGGTTTCTTGTTTGGTTACATATTTATAGGAAATTTAGGAAGAGGCTGCTAATTTTTATTTATGTTTTTTGATGTGACGACGTCGTGGTGTAATATTTTATGTATGTTGCTTTGAATTGTACGCCTTATTGTAATTTTGGATCTGTAAATTTCCTTTTTCATTTGCACGCATTAGGCAGAAAGTTGGATTTTCATCCACTTGTTTAGTTGTCTTATCTCTTTCTCCGATCGTACATATATTATATACCATTAATTAGTTCTTGGACGGTTTAAAAATCATAGTCAAACGTTGAAGTCGCACTTTGTTTTTTTCTTTTTATTTTCATTTGTTGCGGGGAGACTTCATATAATTAATTAGTGAACGATGGTACGTGTGACAATTTTGTCAAAGTCAACCAATATACAATTTGTAAAATAGTTGACATACTATCACTATGTATCCATATGATACGCGAGGAGGTGTATGTACATGCAAATCAGTTTCTTGATTACAACAACATTCTTGTAACGAAAAACATTTCTGACACACAAATTATATTATGAATATTATTAGGTCAGAAAAATCATGTATTGACAATGCTCGAAGTCTACACTTGACCAATTATATTAGCATTTGTGTGAAATTTATTAGATAACCACGTATGTTGTTAGTGTACCTCCATTAACACACTTATTAGTACGTATTTATAATTTTGGTACATTGACTTCTTAAAAAATGATAATCTTCTAGTTCCCAATACACTTAAATTTTATTTATTTTGAAGTTGAAGTAATCGTCTTGTACGTTTTGCTTCTTTTTCTTTATCCTGCAACGTGAAGTAACATTCAGGGAGGTTTTATACAACTTAACTCCAGTCTAGGACATAGCCCTTTACACTTCATCACGTATGTATGTGGTAAACGTTATATAATTAATAAATATAGTTGAATTGTTTTTGAAGAATAGAATTAATAGAAGATCTTGCACGTGCTGAACCAAAATGAACGAAATTAAACATTAAACAAGATATATATATATATATAAGTATCTTGTACGTACTGAACCGTATGTGCCACTTGCTACCTCAACTTCAAGTGCAAAATTTCTTCCAACTTTGAGTGTCTTTGTTTCACCGATTAAAAATTTATTTATGAAAATATTGAGTTGAAAATGTCAAATTCTCATATTTGTTTAGAATTTTGAAGAAAAAAAATTAGATATAATTTATTTTTTAAAAAATAGTCACAATATGATTCATTTCATTTTGATTCTCATGGTGGAAGATAGGAAAGTTATTGTATTCCCATAAAAGTGTGAAAAGTTATATTTTAACCCACTTTTTCAACTCAATTTTTTATTTTATTTAATTTAATTTTTTAAAATATTTTCAAAAATGTTAAAATTCCACCAAACACATTTTTAAATATTTTCAAGAATAACATTTCAATAATAATATTTTCAGGAATGTGATTACCGAGAAAGTAAGTAACATACTCGAAAACAAACATCCCAATTTGGGAAGAAAAATGAGTTTCCCATAAAATTAAAATAAAAATGGAAGTAAAAAAGAAAAATCAGAAACACGTTGGTATACATGTGTCTCATGTGTATTGAGTAGACAAATCATACTAGAGTGAATTTCTCAAAGTTGGGACCATCACCCTTGAATGGTAGGGTGGCCCATATAAGATTGCACAAAATATTTCTGTTAGTGCAACCACGATCATTGTAAAACAAATTAAAGTCTTTAGTTGACTTATAACAAAATTGAATGTTCATAGGAATTTTAATTTTAAACTTTATATCTAGTTAAATATACTTGGACTTGGTGGAGTAGAATTTGAGATCAAGACGTGATAGTGGTAGTTGATGCTCTTTATTTGTGTAAAATGACAAAAATGAAGTCTGAGTCTAAAACTTCGTTCAAATTATCCAAAATCCTAACTATTGAATTTGCAAGGCGATACTCATTCAATGGTGAAAATTAAATTTGATGAACAAAAAAGAGAAGAAAAAAATGTTTTGGGGTTTATACAAAACAAAGAACGTACTGTTGAACAATGGTTTTTGTGTTTGACCTTTTATTGTTGAATAGTATTGTGTAGATAGGCTCATGATATATATACCTCCTTTTTTTTTTGTAAGTACACCTCCTTTATATTTTTTTTTAAATTATAAAATATTGTAGTTTTTTTTTTAAATCTTCTATTTTTACACCTTTAATTTTCAATTTGCTACTTTCTTCTTCTTTTTCACACACTTTTTTTTCTCTTTTAATTTTCACATACTACTAAAATAGGTAGGGTGAAGGAAAAATAAGGAGGTGCATGTAAAAATTGAAAGAAAAAAAAAGGGAAGATGTGTGAAAAAAAATAATAAATTAAATGTTGTAGATGTAAAATTAAAAAATTAAAAATTAAAAATTAAAAAATTAAGAATATTTTAAAATTTTAATTTTAATTTTTTTAAAAAAACAAGGTGTATTTATAGAAAAAAGGAAGTGTATATATCATGAACGGTGTAAATATTAGTAGCCAAATCAGGCTAGCCCAATAATAAGGCCCAAAGACTTAAAATTGATTTCGCATCCAGGACTTAAAGGTAGGTCGATCCATTAAAAAAAGAAAGTCAATCCCCTCTTTTTTTTATGTATTAAAATTATAATAATGACATCGAGATTGGAACTTAAAATTCTGTGTATATTATTTTAACTTTGACCAACTTTATTTTTTTTACTATATATTTGAAATTGTATTCTTGGTAACTATTTGCTACACTTAGACACTGGATTAGTTTCTAGGAAAGTTAGGTACTCAGTTAATAAGAACATAACAAAAGAAGATATAAATGGGAAAATTAAATTAACTAAATGACAAGGTAATGGTTAAGTTAAATTAATTTAGTGTTGGATTTTGGATTAGTATTGATTTAATTGGGTTAGATGTAGTAAAAAAGTTCCTTCCCAATAGTGTAAGAGGTAGTAGTGTAGCAAATATTTGTATCCTTCCCTGTTTTTCTCGATGGGCCCAATGTTGTTTCTGAGCCCGCCGCACAAGCTGGTGGCTCTTCTTTCCATTTGTATCTTCCTCACAACTTATTTTTCCCTTTTTTTCCTCATTGCAATTGTTTGTGTCTCCTTTTCATGTTCTTATTGCTTAAATATGATTTTTTACTCTTTTAAATTTTAAAAATTTTAAATTAATTTTTTAATCTATAATTTTAAAAAAAACTTTATTTTAGTTACCTCAAACCAACTTAATAATGATAGATTAAGACAATTATGCAGTATTAGTTAAATTTAACATTATATTTTTACTATTAATAAGAATACTAAGAAGTACATTTTGTACAATAAATAAGTTTTATTTGACAAGTTTAGTAACAATATTTGACGAAAAAAACTAAAATAAGAATTTTTTAAAAAAGTTAAAGAATTAAAAATATATTTAAGTCTATTCTTAATAATAATAATAATAATAATTTTTTTTATAGTTTTTTCTATAAACTTACATTTTTCTTTGCTAATTTCTATGTTTTTATTGTGTGTGTGCGTATAAAACTTATTATAATAATAATTGAAATATTAAAATAATGATGATACTCAAAGTTGGCGCATTTTTTTACTTGCAAATTGTATTTGGTTAAAAGGGATAAATAGACGAGAGAAAGTGTGTAAGAAAATGAAAAAAGAAATAGAATATAAATATAAGTTATTTGGTTGAAAAAAATAGAATGAAAATTAATAAGATTTTAAAAATAATAAAAATAAAGATTATTATTATTATACCTATTTGTGGATATCTTGGTAATTTTTTTCCCTCATTTGTCTTACTAAAACAATCTAACATATAGGTATCTGATTCTACTTGTAAAAGAAACTGATACTTGACACACAGTAATAAGTACAAAAAAATAAATGTGTGAAAACTAACCTTTTATCTCAATATTTAGTACTATATCAAGTCTTTATTTGTTTTTGTTTTTTTGTCTTAATCTCTAAAATCTTCTACACAACCTTGAGTGGAGGATATATATAATATTTTATAAAGAAAAAACAAACTTAGAAATTTAGAAGGGAATAAGGAAAGATACGAAGGAGAAAATGAATCAAATGTTTGGATAAAATTTTATCATTTTAGTTTTATTCTCCTTACAACGATGGAGTTTTTTATTTTATTTTTAAGTGTGTACTGAATAGGAAATATTAGAGTATTAAAAAAAGAGATGAAAAGTGTTTTTTTACATTTAAAAAGTAGAATATGAATAGAATAATTCACATTGGTGTCAATTCTTATTCGTCAAAAAAAAATTTGACAACAAAAGTTTAATGCATTTCATCGTCAGTAGTATCATAGATACAATGTAGTTTGTAATCAAAAGTACGATGACGAAAATAAAATTGTGATGAGTCACACACATTGGCTTGTCTCCTAACAAAACTTATATTTGCAGATTCTTAAGTATAACTCCTAAATCAGTTTGTGCATAAATTATATGATTTAACCCATCTACAACCTGCTTGTAATCTAACTCAATAAGGACACCTTGAAAACCCACTTCATTAACCCAAGTGATGGCCTCATTGCACGCCAAAGCTTCAACTTCCACTGGGGAAAAGAACCAAGCATAGATATCATTTTTGCAAGAATAAAAGTCACTTGATCATATTCTGATCTTCAAACTAGCATCTACATTGCACTCCACCACACACAGGGGTGGTTGCTGCCAACTAGAAGTGACAACAATAGAAAGACAAATTCTGGGACTGATATGCACCTTTTTCCAATCCCGTAAAAAATCATATGCCCTCTGAATCATTACTAGAGGAGACCTGTCAACATTTTTCCATATCTTACCATTAATTCCTTCTCCACCACAGGGACCACAACAACATAACAATTTGGCTCATATAATGGATGGGAACTACAACAAGCAACAAGAACAGTAAATCAGATATGCCTTCAGCAATATCCACAAAAATCCGCCACCTTATTCCACAAACCAGCTTCAAGCCAAAATCTCTGGACATCCAGACACCCCACAAAATAGTGCCAAGCATTTTCTATGTTATTACCACAGAAACTGCAAGAGTTGGGACACACTGCACACCCTTGATTGCAATCCGTGAACTGACTAGTAAGTTTTAGATTATCAATTGCAGTATCTTACTTTTAACATGAGCCAAAACAACCTTATACTCATTTAAGGAACTAGTAAATAGTTGTTTAAAGTAATTCTCAATTACCTCACAAACTAGTGATTTTGTTCCCCCTCTTCCTAGTTGAAGCAACAACATGAAAAAATTTAGAGCTGGTGTCTCCATCCCTCAACTAGTGAACCTTTGCTCTTTGCCTCCAAAAGGCATTCTCCTTTCCCAATAATATATCCGTCTATGTGTGCAGATCAGTATACTCCTTACTGGCTATCTCTCCCCTCAATCCGCTATATTCATCCATCCTCCTTCTACGACTGTCGATCTCGGAACAGAACCTCATTCGAAGTTTTCTCCCCCAACTATCTAAATCCCGAGTACAATGGCTCAACCTATGTAGAAGGGTAGTAGTTGAGTCTCTATTCCATCCTTGCTGCACCACGTCAACTAGCTCAGGTTCTTCAAGCCAAGCATTTTTGAAATGGGAGACTTTCATACCTCTTTTAGAACTATTATCCTCCAACCAAAGGATAATAGGAGAATGATATAACCTATTTTGTTATCCCATTTAACAACCTACAGTGAGGAAAAATATCAAGCCAGTCTTGTGTCACCATTGCAAGGTCCAACCTTTCCTCCACAACATCTAAAGAATGTCTTTTTTGAATCCAGGTAAAAGGATAAGCTTCCATGGGGAGATCGATAAGATTGTTTTCTTGAATAGCCTGCCTGAAACCCCTAATCAGCCACTGAGGTTGGTCCTGCCCTCCCCATTTATTTGTAGTTGAAAGCATATCATTGAAATCCCTCATCGTACACCATGGTAAAGAATTATCTATTGCCAGAAATTTAAGAAGCTCCCAGGTTTCGTTTCTCCGACTCCTATCGGGAAAACCATAAAAACCAAATGTACCGATCTGATCGAAGACATAGGTCATGAATCTTACCAAGGTAATATACCGATAAGAACTCGATCACGTAAATTACCAATAATCCCGGTATAACACATCGATCATAAGACTTAATCAAAGAAGATAGTTTAGTTATACAACAATGGGGACGAATATCTTATAAAAAAAAATGGAGACTTAACTACGGTTAAGAAAAGAAATACATAATAATATAGATTTAAATATATTTTTAGTCCTTTAAATTTAAGATAAATTTATTTTTGATCTCTTAAATTTAAAATTATTATTTTAAGTCCTTGTAATTTTTAAAAATCTTGTTTTAGTCTCTTAGGTCACTAATAACATATTTAAAAGTGACTAATTAAGACAGTTATGTAATATCAACCAAATTTAATGTCATATTTTCATATTAAGAATACTAATAGATAGATTTTATGTAATAATATTTGATAAATTTCTTAACAAAATTTGAATATAAGAACTAAATTAAGATTTTTTGAAATTATAAGAATTAAAAATAATAATTTTAAATTTGAAGGATTAAAAATAATAATTTTAAATTTAAAAGATCAAAAAATAAATTTTACTTAAAATTGAGAGACTAAAAACATATTTAAACTAATAATATAATAGTAAAAGAAATTACTAAGATATTAGATTAACTTAATTGTCAATATCCTTTTTACAGTAACTCGACCCAAATTATAGAGAGGAGTTCATATCTTTAAATGTCAGATTACAAGAAGAAGAAAGAATCTTACTGGACTAGCTCAACAACCAAACTATTCCCGATAAGAGCACCAAAGAATCACCACTTGCGCCCTTCCTTATGCTCCATCTCAACATTTATAAAATTTGATGAATAATTTTACACCGAGCAGGGTACCTCCAAAGAATAGCCAACCCACCACTTGTCCCAATCCTATGCACAGCAAAAGTAGAATCAAAACCCAAGGTGATTCAAATTTCTTCTATCTTGTTTGCATGCACCCAATTCTGGCATAAAAAAATCACGTCCGGTTTACAATTTCGAACATGTAGGAGCTGCTCTCGGATTGCATAAAAAGTTATGTATAATAATCCTCTAAACTTGTTAATGAAAGAGTGGCATAGTAGAATTTTATGTGCAGTAAGCGGTGAAGTAATACGGCTGTTTGTTAGTACCAGACCAGTAGAGTAGAAAGTAGAGAGTAGTAGTAATGAATGTAGTATTACAGAAAGACGATGAGCATTATTATTATTATTATTATTAATAGAATAACAACAAGTTTAGCACACTGGTTTCTTCATACTACAACAGAAAGAGGAATTATATACTAAACGACGACGCAGAGGCGAGAATGATTATGTTGTTCCTCTGTAACGGAGAAGGGACTCGATCCTCTGCAACCTCAACTGCTTCTTGAAACTGTTGATGAAATCATCAGCTTTGGCGTCCACCTCTTCGTCTTCTCTGCACGACGCCGTTTCAATCCTCGCCGTCGCCGTCGCCGGCCTCCGCCTCTCCACCTCCTCCTCCTCCTCCTCCTGTGGCTCTCGCTGCATGGAGTCCGATCTGTAGAACCGCGACAAGTTCATGGACTGAATCCGCTGCAGCAGCGACGGACACCGAACCAGTTCCGGTTTTTGAGGCTCGGGTTGAGGTTCGGGCTCGGGCTCTCCCTGGTGTTTGTGTTGGGGTTGGGGCTGAAGATGTCGTGTTTCTGCAGGTGCGGGGTGTTGTTTGTGGAGAGAGAGATTGAAGGAGGCGACTCGTTCCAATAATGAGGGAGTTGGAAGGAGTTGGGGTTGGGGTTGGGGTTGGGTGTGAGCGGTGGTGTCTGGTTGATGATGAGTGCAAGTAAAGGACCTGACTCGTTGAAGAAGAGAGGGTGAGCGAAGGAGTTGTTGGGGTTGGTCTTCGGGTGTGGAAGCGAAGCGACAAGTGATTGCTATGGTGCCTATGACCAGGTTCACTAAGATGAAGAGGTAAGAAGGAGTTAACCAGTTCGCTATGAAACTTGCTGGGTCTCCCATTTCTCAATCTATACCATTCTCAATGTCTTCTCAATTCTCACACACACACACATATATATATATATATATATATTAATACATACATACACACTACACTACTCTACATGCTTTAATTTAATTTAATTTTTATAGTTGACGTTTACTTCCTTAAAGCTTTGTCGCTTTCTTTTCTTCTCAAGGCCTCCACGTCTAATCTTTACTCTTCATTAAACATCCCACCCAGGGGATGGGATGGGGCATGGATGAGAGGAAAAACTTTAAATGAATCCTCTTGTATCAGAAAACAAAAAAGAAAGATATATACATGTTGGGGAAATTTTGTACCAAGTCAGAGAATTTGGTAAAAAATAGTGTATGCCCGTTAACAATGAACGTGTGGAGTAAAGTTTAATTAATTTAACTGGAAAGTTCTAGAGCCATCCTCTTTTCTTTTTTCTGCTGACAAAGACAAAGCAACAACTATTAATCCCTTCAAAGGGTTGTTTTTTTCTCTGCTGCTTCACTCACCTCCTTATGAAGCACGGGAGAAATCTCGCTACCAAATGAGGTTATGGTTCAAACCCTTTTATAAAATAATCACAATACCAATTGACTCTTTTAACTGTTAAATATTTTAGAATTCCTCCGGCTGCCATGAAAACTGTGAGCATGCAAGTGTTAAGGATTCACTCGTCAACTTTGAGTCTTGGATATGGGTCCTAATTAGTTCAACAAAAAGGACATGGGTCAACTTAGATCTCAGACTGTCCAAAACTTCGTGCTAAATTGATTTCTTTTTCTTGGGGTATGCTGATGAATTGAATCTAATTAAGCGTGTGGATCCACAACATTCATTTTGAAATAATATTTTATCTTGTTTAGGCCATTATATCATGATTCATAGGAGTGGTACAAGAGCCAAGAGGGGCTTCATTGTTTAGTGTGATTTTGTTTTAATAGTTAATACTTAATAGTATAGTAGTATGTAATAAAAAGTAATTAAAACTAAACCCACTGGCAATTTTATTTTTTTAGTTTTCAATTTTATCAACTTTTTTTACATCAATTTAGCAATATCTAAAAAACACTATTATTTGATAGTGTTGTTGCGTATTAAATTAACGTAGCCGAGAACATACCACTTTTCTTCTGTTAAAACATTTTAGACGACCTTTTAAAAGTATTAGTTAGATTCGCATCTGCAAATAGTTGGCATTGATTAAAAAAGCTTGTCATGGCATCATGTGCAATGGTGATGCATGTTGGTGTGATATTTATAGTGACGTGTCATGTGAGTTTTGTTTATATTATAGAAAATGTAAATGATTACCACATGATATTATTTATTATCAATCACAGAACAGGACGACGACCACCATGTTATAGTCTACTCTTCATAAGTCACATTAATTAATTAATTAGTTCACACCCAACATACCGAACATAGTACATTAACACTTATATTCATTATTATTCACCTTTCTTTTATTTTTATTTTTATTTTTTTTCTCTACAAACCAATCTCATTGAAAGTTGCAACATGCCTTCGATGTTCATTTTCTTAATACTCTGTAACTCTCAAACGAGTATTTTGGGCATTTGGTATGTAATTAACTAAGTTATATATTTAGAAGTCACCTATAAATACCTTTTCAGTAGAATAAAAAAAACATTTGATTTTTCTTAAACGTATATACCCACAGGCTTTAGGATAACTTTATGTTTTGTTTTTGTAAGTGAAATTTATGATGGCGCTATAATTAGAGAAACTTAGATTTGAGATTTCATATTGAATTGTCGATGTTTCCAATGTTAACACGGGGAGCGGCACATGCCTGTTCTACCCACTTGGCCAAACACAATCCACCGTCAACGGTAGATCCATATCATAAAAAGCATGAACTTTTCCACACTTAACTTTTTATTATTGTTTTTATTTTTAAATTTTTCCATGATCTTTTCAAGAAAGTTTCATACCAGTGAGAGGAGGAACACTTTGATAATAGTATGATTGTTCACCACATAAACATAGAGAATTATTGGTTCATAATTGATAAATATATTGCAAAAGTACTTATAAAGAGAATAGTATTGTATCATTCAGATGAGAAATCAAATTTAGTTCGGTATTTATTAAATGAAAAAATCCTCCAAATTTTATTTTATTTGAAGTTGGTTTATATTTTATATTTTTTTTATTTCTATTCATCAATATATAAAAAAATAATCCAATTTTGATTAATATATACTTTTTTATGTTATTCTTCAATTATTGAGGTGTAATTAAATTACTAATTTACAATCATTTCTAACAAATATAATATTTTATACTATTCAAGTATCATAATTAAATTTAAAAAAAAAATAAGGGTCGATAAAAAAAACTATAGTATTTTCTTCAACAAAAAAATAAATAATGGTATACAATGTCAAAAATTAAGTGTCTATGATTTTACTTTTTAATCAAAATTATTAAAAAAAATTATCTCAATAAGCCTTTAATTTTAGTTGAATAACGGTATTAAAAATTTAAAAAAAAAATCAAAAAGTATCCAAGTAGTATAAAAAAAGCTATTAAAAAACCAATTAATTAATAGAAGTTTATAGTGAAATTGCATGTCCATCCGTCCCCATGGTTTACTAGTCTGAAAAAATATTACTTTTTGTAAAGTGCTAATAATTCTGAAATTCTCTATAATGTTTAGATATAATAAGTATGAATGACTCACCTGACCCCATAAAAGTATGAATGATTCGGCTTTTCTAAAAGAATATATATTGTATCAAACATTTTAAATATAATTTATGCAGACTTTTTAAGAAGGTCTCTGAGGTGCAAAGACCACCATCAAATTTAACATTGATTTTTTTTTCACTTAATACACACATATATATATATATATATATATA